AATCGAGCTCGAAAGGTTTGATGCAATAAGAAGGCTGAGGCTGAATTTATTTTTCCAAATAATGAAGATAATACCAAATAAATTATTATTAACAAATGCACAATAACCATTGTTATTTACTCCGCCTCTATTTTAGTTTACTATTTTAGATCATAAAGACATTGATAATTCAGAAGTACAAAACATTTTCTCATTTGTATGGAACGAGTGAGGCCACGGCCTCTATTATCTATTGTGCTAATGTCGGCTTGTCACCGTACAGATAAAATATAAACACCCCGAGTAAAAAGCCTGTCAGACGGACTAGGCGGTGGTTGTACTACCATTCTATGCATGGCCTCGTTTTACAATATTCAACCAATATGTTGTTGAAATAAGATTGTATATACCAAAAACTATCTAAAAGGAGATTAGTAGCGTCAATAGAAATATGCCAATAATTGCATTTGCTGCATTCGAAATTTAAATTCATTATTATTTAAATTAAATGTACAATAATTAGTCTTTGTAGTAACATATTGTTCGAGTTAATATTGCCAAATTCCTTGCGATTCAATAAGGGAAGGTGGCCAGTTGGACTATACTCAAATTACGAACATCAATAACAATAAACAATTATCTCCGACACATTTTAAGTGTGACTCAGCGGCGGTTTTTGTTGTCAATTTTCGATCTATTAAACATCTTAATATATTTCTCATAACTCGATATAAATTTAAGCTATTAATTCAAGCTTTAACTATATTCTTGCTTCTTATTTAACTAATATTATAATTTCGAAAGTTAGATGAATGCATTTTTGAATGAATGAATTTGTAGCCGTAACGGCTAAACGGACTTAGATCAAATTTGGCATACCTGTAGAGGATAGACTAGAACTGTTTTCTTAATTCCTCGCGGACAGAGTTGAGGGCGAAAGTTAGTAATCTATAATTTACACTTTAAAGAACCAGTCATTTGCTAATAGCATTTAATAGTATTGATTCATGCTATTGAGCATAACTGTGTCAACATTGCTCATTTAAAGTCCATTTACTTCGATTCATTACTCAAAATTAACAGTAATCGAATCTACAATTAAATGAATTTTAATCATCGGGGAAACAATGCATTTTTACCCTAATTCCATAAAATGGACGTAAAATATGACGCACATCTTTTGCGGTCCAAACTTAAATACTTACAACACACTTTTAACAGTGGAAGTGCCTGCTTTAACATCTTAGCACGAATGGACCGGCACGCCCGGTGTAATACCACGACCAGACAGAAGCCAGGCGTGAAATGGAAGCAATTCCGTGTTTCTGTGAAATGAGTGTGGTGCCAGAGGCCTAATTTAAGTTCCTTTTTCTTTACCGCCCTTTCCTTATAAGGAGGGGATGGGAAGGGAAAGTGGATTTGACGGTGGAGAAGAAGCATAGGAAAGGAAAATATCCCCTTTATGTGCGTCTCTTCCTCTGTCGGATACGGGTAGGCAATGCATCTGCAATGGCAGCGATCGCTTCGCCATTTTGGCGGATTCAGGTGGCCGCTTGCTCGTTTGCCACCTTACGTTATAAAAAGACTCGATGTCAAGTGAACGTTATTATTTTTAAATTTCATATACACCATAGAAACATTTGGGATGTGCGAGGCTCTAGAAAGCCTCGCGGGGCTACAGAGCCGGCTGCGTATTCATGGAATTTTATATAACGCGTAATGAAAGCATCGTGCAGAGGCTATCTTTGTCTTGGGCGCCAACTTTGTCGGTGCGCTATTGTTTTTTGCGTCGCCCGCTTACTACGTTCCACTTTTATACAAGTTTAAGTTGTTAGTTTTTTCACGCTGAATATGGTATCATTAGTTTTACGTACCAGGTATGAAACCTGATAGATTAATGTATACTTGTATACTATTATAATAATGCATAAACACACACTTCTTTAATGCCTAATATGTCAGTAATTACAGCATATTTTTGAATAATCCTTTTTTTAATAAAAATCCTTACACTTGCGTCACGCTTTAGACTTTATATTTTAACGTCATTAAACTTAGGGGATAAATATTTTGGATAAAAATGTTAATCCCTAATGTGCGAAAGAGACCATAAGTTGCTGTCAACATCAAAGAAGCAAGGTTGTCACCATGTCATGTCATTTTGACATTTGTAATTTGACAAATGTAAACAATAAAATAAAATTTTCATAATTTCATGCGGATGAAGTCGCACGGGAACAGCTAGTTTTAGAATACTGTACCAAGAATATCAGCCTCACTTTATAATGCTAATCTTATCTAGGTTCTATCTTAATATTCAAATGATTAAATACGCTCTACCAAGAATGGCCTTCTATTGAAAGAGCTTCGTTAAATATGTACATGTTAATCGCCGTTTCTGTTCATCTGATATCGTATTTAAGCTACACCGTTTGTAATACTGCTATTAACTAGGATAACATCTTAATTTGTTGATTACGTTGTTATCTATATCTGAGAAATCGTTTTTTTTTATTCGTGTCGCATTTTACATCCTCAATGTTGCTTCAATTAATCTTGTATATATTTACGAAGATTTCTTATGTAAATGCTACTCTTAAATATTTGTAGTCATTCATAAATGTCTGGATCTAAATGGCTAAAGCTTGTTTAATATTTAATGCGTATCATCTTGAAACTGCCTTGGCTTTAATTGTAAATGTCTGGATTCGTTATCGGTATATTCCATTGCCTAGAAATTTGTTTGAGTTGAATATCTATTGAGCATTGTTAGGAGGTTGTGACGCATGTAAGCGAGGCCGCGTCGGCTGCAGTGGGTGCATTGCTCCCGACACGAATGTTCGCGTGTTTGACGCACAGATAAACACTTAGACACGACATTCATAGACAACGTAGACACACAAGACATTCATAGACAAGGTAGACACACAAGAAATGCATAGACAAGTCGAGCATAGGCACGACTATGTCGTACCGTCTCGCAATGTAATATAAGTAATACACGTTAGATTTTCCATGACGCTTTTGAGTGTATCACTATGCCAATGTGTGATAAAATTGTTGTGTTAGGAGGAGTCTTCCAGTTTCCTAATGTTTTCGCGTATTAGATGTCTGTAAGGTTAAAACTACCACGCAAAATCAAACGTGTGTAGCTTACATAAGGGCTAAAGCCACAGATGCATACAGCATGCTAGAAAAGTACCCACTTGATGTGATATAACCGCCCAGTATCGTTTTTTTATTATATTAAAAAGAAAAAACTTCGTGTCGTAATATTAACAAATAGAAAACACAATTATACGTCATTTCTTTTTTACGATAGTTTAGTTATCACGACTTATTGCCACAATAATAACAATTCTAAACGCTTTTGAGGAACGAATATTGAGTCACATGTGTAGCTTGTGAATTACTTTCTCTAAGAACTTGGAAGAATACACCTCCACACGACGCTGTTGTGATGTTTTTATTTATTCGCTACGTGCCATTCTATTTCACACCGTAAAACTACAATTTAGAGTCTAGATTTGAATAAATTCTATTCATCTATTGTATTACAAATATAGTTTGTGTAGCTCATAGCTAAATATATTGTGTGTTATATGTGTTTTTATAATATCTTTAAAGAATAAAGTCATCATGATTTGATCTTAGTAAAAAAAAAACAAAACAAGTTGATAAAAAATTCAGAAAAGCACATATAGCACAATCGTCAATTCGTCCTTAAAATATTCTAGTATATTTTAAATAAATGTATAACGTGCATCCCACTCGCTGTTGACTCTCAATAAACGAGGTAAAAATTCAAGAAACGACTCGAACGTTGTTAATCTGATTTCCCTATAGTATCTACCGTGCGATAGGTATTCCAGTTAACAGCTATAAACACGGCAACGTGATTACTAGGAAAATATCCGCCCACTGAATATTCCGATTAGACTAAAAGCATGCAATAAACAATTCTCAGAGTCCTATATAGAACCCTCAATAAATATAGTCTAGATTTATTCATGGTACTGTCAAAAAAACTTTTTATTCGCTTGCCTTTATCTACTTAAGGATGCGTGTTGAATGTCTAACAAGATACCCGTAGGAAAGTTACCACCGTATGCGCATTTAGCGTCGGCCGAATCCATTACGATTTCAAATCGATTCTTGAACGATTCAGTATTGTACATGCGCATTTTCGATTGACGGGAAAGGTGACTGCTTTGTTGTATAATTATGGAACAGGATGACAGAGACGAGAGAATGAAGCAGTGTTTATGAAATTCATTCTTCAAATAGCGTAAAATATCTTGAAGATATGGTATGCTGAAATAATTCTTGTTTTCTTGTTTATTTAACAGCCGCTTATTCAACAAAAGATCTAGTTAAAATAACATGTAAGATATTAAATGAAATTGATGCATACAGTGATGCAATTACCTCATTAAATCGTCTGAATACTCCAATGAAAGCTGCTATAAAACGCATTGGGTAATCCTTCTTTTTGCAATAGCTCTTAAAATTATATAGGTGGTCATTACACGTTTTTATTACATCTTGTTATGTATTGTAACATTTATATTGAAGTAAAACGACTAAGTAGTACATACTATGTTGGTATTTCGTATGGAATAGGGGCTCCTTCGTGATGGTAATTAGAAAATTGGAAATCTATACTAATGTTATGTAGAGGAAAGATTTGTATTTTTGTATGTTTTCGATTCACGCAATAACTACTGGGCCGATTTTAAAAATTCTTTCACCATTAGAAAGGTAATTTATCTATGAGTAATATAGTCTATATTATCATATATAGAAAATATTTGTACTATTGTATTTTTGCATGTATTGAATTATCTCAAAAACTATTAAGGCCAATTTCAAAAATTTTTGCACCATTCCACCTACTTAACCACTTAGTAACATAGGTCATGTTTTATTACCTTTTTTTTCACGCTGACGAAGTCACGAGTTAAACATATGTTTGTTCCTATTAAGTATGTAATTTAATTGTTATATATCTTTCGTTTCAGGTAAACAAGTTCGTATAGAGTTGAGCGTCGAAAGAGGTCGGTAAACAACGGTACAAATCTTAGAGTGGCCAGGGTAGCGGGGAGCGACCCACTTTCCTCTACCTACAAACGAATTCTTAACAGAGATGTGCTCTCAATTTCGTTAGGTATACTTTTTGTAAAAACCTTGTATTACTTAGATCTTTTTATTCTTAATTTTTCCGTGTACCTTGTGATTTACATAGAATTATTTGGTAGCAAAAATGGGTTGAACAGCAGTTATGTTGTTTTGATTACAAAATAGATTTGATTTCCATTGCCAAAAGTAATTACAAAATCATGTTTAATTTTGATTCAACAACAATGAGAGAGATGAAAATGTGTACAAAATTGTTTGTATAATTTTCTATATAAATCAGTAAAGAATAACTTCTTTGTAGTTCATTTGTCGACGTTAGCGCGTGATTTACGAACGCGTCCCGGAGCGAGCAACCTTTCCGTCCTGAGGAAATTAATTAAATTGTTTATTTCTTGTTGTTTTGCTACCGTTTCTATTTTGTCCGATTTAATACCTGTTCGTTGACGTCATGCCAGTACGATCCAAGAACAAGAACTTTATGGAAATAAACCCTAGTATATTATAAGATTTTGTGGACTTAAATATTTGATACGATTTTTTTTATTAGACTCTTCGTTGCCTCAATCCATTGCTATATTCCTCTACAGTAGAGAAATATCGTCATCTTTTTTTTCGTAAATATTATTGAGGGACGGGTGCTAGGACAGTGCACACTCAACGACCCTTCTATATCTATATAGATCGTTAAAACAGTACTTAATTAGACGTAACGATGCGTTCCATATTAGGCGTTATGATACCACTTGGTACTAGTTCACATAAGGTTATGTTGCGGGCCGCGACACCGCAAACGAATGCCTTGTATGTCGGTGCAAATTAGATCGTTACTGCTTAAGGGGTACAAAAATACAGTCGGTGCGTGTTCTCACAGTATGTTTGAAGTTCATTAGTTTTTGTGTCTCGAGACAATGTAAACAAACATAACACAATGGTAGTCATGTGAAACTGCACGCACCTCCAAGTTTATAAATGTACACCTGCGATAAGATTTTTAACTTTATTTTTTATGTCGTAAGGTTTCATTTTCAAAACCCGGTTAGTGTAATTAAAAATAAATTTTATATGAAGGATTTAAATGTGACTTATCAGGTACGACCTTTGAATAATATAATTTGTATATCAAAGTCGAATTTTATTATGATTGCGTACATTTACAGAATTATTTTTTTAATATTCTCAAAGATTGATACAAAACGAAGCCTTGTTCATTTTATTTATATAGAATAAAATATTATATAGTTGATCAAGTAACTCTGTAAATAACCTTAAATTATTAACAAGGTTGTAATTGTTATGTAATTTCATCGTGCTGATGTACAATCATACGGTATATATTTTTTTTGTTATAATAATATCTCGTAATGATACATTCGTGCATAATGTCATCAAGTCAGTGTAATTATGTCGGTGAATCATTCGATGTAATTGAGACGAGTTTAGACGAAACGCTATTGGCTTGTCCGTTGCTGATATTCGAATGGTTTTGTATGTTGGCACATATTCTATGTCAGGTTAAAGATGACGTGTGAACGTACAAGTGTCTATTTTAATTAATTTTTCGGTTGCCTGGTGAAATGTCATAACTCATAATTTCTAGATAATCTAAAATTTTATTTATGAACGAGCTGTCGCCCGCAAACTTCATTAGCGCAAATTCGGACCACCCATTACGCCATTTTGACAGCGCGGAATTTTAAAAAAGTAGTTATAATATGCATATTCATGTCAGCTACCCTTCGGTGAAAATCCCGTCGAAGTCGGAAAAGCCATTTCGGAGGTTACCCGGAACAGACGGAACGGACAAACGGCTTGCGGACAGACAGACAAAAAAAATTAAATGCGATTTTTATTATCAGCAAAGAAATCTAAGCCCGTAATCTTTTTTCTTTTTTCATTTTTTTCTTTTGATATAATAGACACTCCAATGTTATTATATGTATAGATTTAAGATACCGAAATTCCTAACTGTTTAAAAAAAGATTTTGGTTAATAAAACATAGAATTTAGAATTTCATGGAATATTGAAAATGTCTGCTGTGTTGTTTTAAAGTATCAATTTGTCACCCTCTGTCATACTTATCGTTATCCCTTGACAAATGTTTAACAGATATTCTAGCTGATAGCTCGATTCAATATCAGGTTATATCATAGCACACGAAGTATCGATTTTAAATAGAAATCTGACATCATGAAGGCGGTTGATGGCGAATACTAACTTCATTACAGCTCGTTAATACAAGGCTTTCGCTTACGTATCTTTATAAATACCTAATCATGTGCCGGATAGTGCTTTGACTAACAGGTTTTTGCAATACATTGCTAGGATTTTATGTACGTCTAAGAGCGTCGGTGGCTTAGGGATTTAACCACTTGCCTTGTAATCTACAGGTCTTGGGTTCGAATCCCGCCATGTACCAATGTGATTTTCGAATTTCATGTGTACATAATTTACCCGACGTTCTTCCCATAAAGGAAAACATCGTGAAACCTGAACAATATCGGAGAATAAATTCAAAGATATATGTGAAGTCAACTAACATGCACTTGACCAGCGTGGTTGACTATGGCCTAGTCACCCCTTACTTCGGGTAGGCTCCAAGCCCCTCGGTGGCGATATATAGTGAGCTGGTGATGATTCTGTTCTCTCTGGATTTTCTCTGAAGAATAGATGTCCTCAAAACGGATCTCAAAAGAATCGGTCTTGACGTCATATATTCAGAAATGATCACTTACCGAGAACGGTATCAATAGCCCTTATTGTTCTCTTGTGCGAGAAGACAACATTGTTTGATATAAGCGTTGCGAAACAATGTCGCCGTTGCAGTGTGATGAAGAAATCTTTAACACAAGTTTAAATATCTTCGTTACTGTATTTAACCGTTTCCACTGCTGAAACTCGGACAGAAACATGTTCTTAACTCTATCTTTCAAATGAAAGGATTGATGCGTTTTTGTTTAGGTGTTTTGATAGGTTTCGAAAATACCCTCTTTGCTTAAGTCGAATTGTGCCCGTACTTCTCTTTGCTGTCTTTCATCTATGTCTTTGTATTCCCTAGCGTGATATTTGACTTTTTTTATCTGGTAGAGGAGTTAAAATAATTACATAACGGAACCAACCTTGTTGTAGATAAGATATTATTGTACGTTATTGTATACTCGATGTAAAAGGCATGGGTTATCATTTACAATGTTTGAAGTTTGGAACGGATCTGATAACTTTTGTTTAAAAGACGATTGAAAGTCTAAACGTAAAGATGACTAAAAAAAGACAGTTAAAAATTAACTTAGGCTGCTTCATAAGGATCTGAATCCGGTTCAAAGTTAATTAACAATTCTTCAAATTCTTTATTAAGATATGACGATGGCATGTTATGAATTTGCTAAGTTTCAGTTCGCAGTTCAATGTTGCCTATACTGTTTTCTGTAATGAACAAAGTTTTAAGGACTACTGTCCTGTCTTAATAAATAACAGCTCTCATCAATAACAAACAAAATTTTTCCACTTGGAAATCAACGAGCGTAAAAGTAACGCGCGACTCAACCTGTTTCCTCGCCCGTCCTTTTCGTGGAAACCTCCCCTAGAGCGCGGGGTGAAGATAAGGGTGGGGGTTGACGTCAACCTCACCCCCTATCTAAGCTCCCCGAAATAGACGTAGCCCCGGGAGCCGCTCAATGGAAACCTCCCTTTACTAGGGGGGGGGGCGTGGAGAAATGAAAGAAATCTTTTCTTATTGGTATTATCCTGTTAAAGTGAGATGGTGCTACTAATATAGGATATCTTTAGAACTTCTAGTACATATAACGTTAATACACTAGCGTCTCGCGTGGATTCGCTTAACATTAATGTTTTATTTGAATAGGGATTACTAAAAATCTGTAATGTTTTCGTTATTTAGATGTTTTCCTTTTTATTTGCCTGTTCACGCATGCTTCGACGGTTTGTGTTATGTGTATGAAATTATCAAATCTTAGTAAGTAATTATGTATCCAGTAATTATCACTTTAAAAGATTGAAGGTATGTTGCAATGAAATGTACAATCGATAAAACCTTTAGTTTACATCTAAGTAAAAACGTAATGTCCCTCAAATTGCAATGTTTCATTGAGGAACTTATTTTATTAAAAATGGTATCACGAAAAGTTGCACAATAAACATTGAGACGGACGAGGCCGTATGCTCGAGTTTCACCTTTGCCTCAATGCCTCCCGCGACGGAATTAGACAACATTAATAATGCATTTTTGTTCTTAAATACTTATATTTTTATCCCTAGGAGTGAAAGCTAAGAAATCTATTTTAGTAAGAAATTGAATTCGTCAGGCAAGTCGATGGAACTGATATAAAAATTAACAACGCGATTAAAATCCCCTATGACATTAACGAAAGTCTTTTGTTTTTTTTTGTCTGACTTTTGTTTACTTACCAGTTGGAGACTACCATATTAACATGACCGTAACTAAACCTTCAATTTGCATTGAAGTTTTTGTAAAGACTTAATATAGATACCATTTTAGGCTAAAAGGATTTTGGTGAAATGTAGCTTGGTATCGATTTCAGGAGCCCGACGTGTCTATTGTCTGCAGAGGGTCGGAAAGTACCCCTTTTGTTGTGGCTGCGTAGGCAGTGAATGATGCGATGTTATAGCTAAGTATGACGTCATGGGCAGTGAAGTCCCTATTTTGAAAAGTATAATGTTACTTTCGTATGGAAATGACTATGGCAGTTATTTTTATCTCGAATTGATGGAGTGATACAGTCAAATGTGCTATAAACGAATTTTTAAATCAAACTTTATTTGCGTTTAGAAACTTTTCCATATGACTCTCCTAACCTACCTTGAGCATTTGGTTTGCGATTTTGTATGTTCATAACATCCTACGTTATCTCGCAGCTTTGCTCCTTTTGCTGCAAACAGTGT